ACACTTCTTGGCTCAGCCCAACTCCCCAAGTCACAGTGGGGTGCCAGGGGCTGCCCACAGGGCAGGAAACCTGGGCACAGACCACTGGTGTGGACACCAACACCAGTAGCAATTTGAGGTTTTTCCATTTTATTTATTTTTATTTTCGTGGTGTGAATTGCTGCTGCTCTGGTGCTGCCCCTCCCCCCCCCCTCCCCCACCGGCCGCGGGGGCTCAGCCCCAGCTCCCACCCCGGCATCAGCAACTGCTGCCTGCAGCCAGCCCCTGCTCCCATGCTTCTGGGGACAGGCCAGCCAGGGAACAGGGACACAAGGCCACCACCAGCTCAGCCAACATGCTGCTGGGGCCCTTGGGGCCAGCCCCATGCCGGGCACAAGGTCCCTGTTGGTTTTTGGTGCAGTCGAGGGGAATAGAGCCACCATGCTCCAGCTGTAGCAGTGACCAGGCAGCTGCACTGTTACAGCCAAACTCTGCTACCAGGACATTTCTTTGGTTTTCCCACAGGACAAACCACAGCCCCAGGCAGCAGGATGTGGCCTAAACTTTGTCTGTTCTTCTGGAACCCTGAGCTACACAGAAAACCAACTGTGATGCAGTTACACAGCCCAGAAAGCACAGAAAAGGGAGAGAGATGGCCAGGCCCAAGGGTTAATGGGTGTCACAACCATCCCCAGGCTGCTGTCTGCACATCCACGTGCTTTGTGGCATGGAGAGGGTGGAGGGGGGCAGGGGGAGCTCAGCACCATCCCAGGGGCTGATCCAGGCTGCAGCTGGGGCCGACGCAGTTGATGCTACATAGAGTTGGCTGGTTGTGCAAACAGGGTGCCCATGGAGGACATGAAGAAGGGCACTGTGATGCCAGGGCATTTGCTTTTCACTGTCCCGGGCCACAGCAGTGCCAGAAATGTGTGGCTGCACGAAGGAGGGGGCTGCCAGGCTGCTCGAGGGGTGTCCTCAACCCACAAATCCACATCATGGCTCCTGCCTCCTGGCAGTGAGTGTAGCTGCCCTGTCCCCCGAGGAGATGGCTCCTTCACCCAGGGGTCTGCATTGTCCAGCGCACGAGGGACTCTCCGAGTGGGCACAGCTTCACCAGCACAGGCCACGGGGAAGAGCACAGCTCAGCCTTCTGGTTAAACAACCGCTCCCAAAATCCACTTGGCCTGATGAGCACCTAACAGTTCACAGACTTGCCAGGCAGAGAAAGTCCCATTTCTCTGCATTCAGTGTACAGAGGGGCCGCCGGCTCCTGCGAGGCGACCCGCCGAGGTACGGATGAGAGGTTTGCCAAGGAAAGCACATCCCTGCTGTTACAGTGGGGTGATGGACAACAGGGCTTCAGAGGCAGTCGAGGGTTTGTTAAATTACACACAGACACACACACACGCAGACACACACAAGCTCTTCTGTAAACCGGACTCCAGAAGGTCCACAGATCCTTGGCTGATCCCACGGCCAGTGCTGGATGTGGCATCCTTACATGTTCCCACGATACGTGATGTTGGTGAAGGTAGATGTAGCCTCTTTATATAAAGGATTGTGGCCCTGGAATGAGGAAAAAGAGCATCATCACTTTGTTCTTGGCATCAGTATTCATTCTACTTTACAGCTGGGGAAGCTGAGGCACTATCTCAGCAGTGAGTCGTGGATCCATGTCTCTGCTCAAGGCTTTGACTGCTTGTTTATGGGGAGTTTAACAGCTCCCCATAGGGTTTCATGGGGGGACAGCAGTGAAAAGCTGCTGTGGAGGAGAGGAAAGGCAGTAGGAGCTCAGGAGCAGAGAGGCCTCCTGAGAGATCCAGCCCATCCCATCCCACCCCATCCCTTCCCTCTGGGGAGGTGCAGGACAGGCACTGGTGCTGTCCCAGCCCCCTCCCTTGTGCTCTGGGTGCCTCAGCCCTTCCAGCATCCCGTGGCAGGAGAGACCTGCTGCCTCACTCACGGGATGGAAACGCGGGTGTGGGCAGTGAGTAAGAGGGTCACGCTAGTGACAAGTGCTTGGGATGTGCTGGAGGTGGGAAAATCATGTGGGACATCTGCTGTGCACAGCCCCTGGGATCGCAGGGGGCTCAGGGAGGGGCTGTCCGGGCTGGCAGTGTCACCTCCAGTCCTTTCTGTGACACTGTGCCATGCTTCAGAGAGGAATGGGGCAAGCTGGTCCCTAAAGACCATGTCCTGGGACCACAGACAACAACCGGGCTCTCATGCTGGAAGCACTGGGATCTGGATCCACTCAGTGCAGGGGCTGTGGAATTCAGGGCCTCCTGCCCAGCACACCCAACACACCAGCCCTTACCATGTCCCACTTGGCCCTGGCCTTCTCCTCCTCGAAGCGGGCAAACTCCCGACGGTCGTGGATGGTGATAAGGAGCTTCCAGATGAGCAGGGCAGCAAGGCCGATGAGCAGGATGGCACCCGTCACCGACAGCAGGACCACCAGGATGTCTGGCCCCTTCGGACAGTCTAGCAGAGGGAAGAGGGCAGGGTTTGGGAGGGGGCTCAGCACCCACAGGGCAATTAAAACAGCTCTGGGGCTGCCTTGCCATGGGTACATGGAACTCCTCTGGTCTCAGGAGGGCTTCACCCTCCAAGTTAGGGAGCAGGGGTCTCCCCCCTTGAACACAGCAGGTTCTGTAAAGGAGGATCCCATCCATGGGTGCATGCACAGAGATCCTCAAGCTCCTATCTATAGGGTGGGGGTCTGCACCCGAGCCTGGAGCAGTCCAGGTCACGGCATCACAGGTCCCATCCATGGTGGGGTATGACACCAGAGACCAAGTCCCTGGGCCGGTGGAAGATCATCACCAAACCACCAGCCTGGCTGAGGCCCTGCACCGTACCTGCTCTCCGTCTGCGCATCAACACCGTGCCAGTAAACCAGGGTGGTGGGATCTAGCACAAACCCCAGCAGCCTCCCTGCTCCCCCTGCACGCTGCCCCGGGCTGGGCAGCCACCCCAGCCCTCGCCTGCCTCTCCCCTCCAGACGCAGGGGCTGGGGAGGGCGGGCTGCAGCAGTTTTAGTGAGAGCTGGCAGCTGCCTTTGTGGCTCTGCTTTCCAAGGATCTGTGGCCACACAGCCCCCGGCTCAGCTGGAAATCAGACCTCAAGATTGCTGGAGACCCTGGGGCTGCTCTGTGTGGTGGGGGGCTGCCACGTCCCAGCCCTGGGGCGCAGCTGTAGCATTGCTTCTGCCTGGATAATGGCAGCCAGCTCTTATCTGCTTCTTGAGAAAAATCACAGCCCTGGAGTCAGATCAGGGCAGTGGGAAGGTTAAGCCCCCATCCTTGGCCTCAGTGGGGGGGTGAAATAACCAAGCAACACGGTGGGGAAATGTGAGACAGGCAGGAAATCACAGCCGCAGTTCAGGGAACAAAGCGGCTCTTTAACCCCTCTCAGCCCCCGACTGCAGTGCCCCACGAGCCTGGCAGTGGTGGGACTTACAGAAGGGACACAAAATTCCCCCGCTCAGCTTGGAAACCCAGCACAGCATGCTCTGCATCCGCCCAGCTCGACTGCAGCAGCCGGGTCTTACCTGGCTCCTCGATAACGTAGAGGATGGACTTGCCACTGGAGTCCTCGTAGTACTGGAACCGCACCACGCAGTCATTCTCGTCCTTGTAGGTACAGTTCACAGCATCCTTGCCTCTGTCACCTGCCAGAGCGAGAGGCTCAGAGCCCCCCGTGCTGGGGGGATGCACATGTGGAAGGGAAAGTGGACGGCATACACAGCCATCCAGATTTCCATGCTTTAAGGCACGGATTTGGGTCTCCTCCTCTCTTACCCAGTTCCTGCACCGTCTCGATCTCATCACGGCACATGCGGGTGCAGGACTGCTGCTCCACCAGCGCTCCCCGCTCAAACTTCTTGCACTCCACACACTCCCTGGGGAAGAGAGGGGAAGCACCGTGAGCTCCTCCATGCTCTCCCCAAGGGAGAGCACACACCTTCCAGTCTCAGGCTGTGGAAATCACTGCAATCCCAACCCAACCGGGCTGCAGCTGCTGGGAGCTCCTGCTGCCAGCTCCGTAGTGGGATATGACCCATCCCCGCTCTCTGCCCTCTCTCACTTTTTGATGGTGCAGGCATCCGGGCACGTGGGACACTTCTCGCAGGTGTCGCCGTAGGATCCGGGCTGGGTGCAGTCGCACTTGCCGCAGACGCAGGAGCCGTGGCCGCTGCACACCAGCCCGTTGCTGGACATGCACGTGTCGGTGCGGGTGGTGCAGTTGCAGTAGTCGCCGGTCCAGTCTGAGTCGCACAGACAGTCCCCACAGCTGCACTGCCCGTGGCCTGGGGACAACCCAGAGGGCATCAGGACCCTCAAGTGTCCCCATAGATCCCATCAGCAATAACCCACATGGGGTACCCACATACCCAGGGCGGCAGCTCCACCTCCATGGGCATGGCAAGGCAGATCGGCCACCCAGGACAACCCCCTTCCACTGTCCTTGTGTGGCGGACACGGCAGCTCACATCAAACCTCAACCTTTGCCGTGTCCCCAGTGTTCCTCTTATTTCGCCCAAACAGGTAAAAACTGCCAAATCTCAGGCTGAGCTGCCCAGCAGTGGCAGGTTGGCAGCAGCTACTGGAGATGCTCAATCAGATCCATCTCAGCTAATCAAGCCTTGGCTTTGGCTTTTAACTTCAGATTGAGTCAGGACATCTGGCCAAACCCCTGAAATCCCATTCCTTTCCCAGCCCCAGCCCAGGCAGGGGAAGCTGACTGCTGGGAAAAGCCCGGCCAGCTCCGCACGCTCGCCGAGACTGGTTTGTTCAGACAGACAGACGTGCTCAAATCCTGCCAAAGCCTGGAGCTATTTGGATTGCGGTTTGATTTCAGCTCAAAGACAAGACATGGTAAGCGGTGGAAATGCCGTGGAGTCGGCACGCGCCGACCCATCCCAAGCCCGGAGCACACTGGGGCACGTCGGGAATGCTGCTTCCGGCAGGGGATCAGCCAGACACCATCCTGGCCATGGCCTTGGAGGCACCAGAATGAGAAATAAATGTGTAACCCCGTTAATGAGGAACTAGGGCTGAGTCACAGGAAAATAGTGCCGTGCTGGGTGACAAGGCATGGAACCAGACAGGGGGGCTGGGGAGAAGTGGCTCAATGGGACGGGATTGATGTCAACAGGGTCAGACAGATCGGGTTAATTAACATTCATCATCGCCCTTTGCCCATCCTGCCAGACCCGTCAGCCTTTGTGCAACAGGCAGCGGGAGCGGGGACAGGCTCCCGGCTCCCCGTTATCAGCAGGCTGTTAAGATAAAGGATCAACCCCAGCAGCTGTGAGATGAGAAGTTGGGCTGAGGGCCAGGTGAGGTCCCATAAACTCGATCTGGGGACATCGAGGAACAGGAACCCACTGTCATCTGACCATCAGGTTTCATCTCCCCGTCGCTGGGCGCCAGCAGACTGGGATCAGCATCAGCTTTGGCCACTGATGTTTTCCTGGGGATTTGTGGGCTCACAGCAGGAAAGCGGTGGCGTTTTTGGCATTGCGTCAGCAGCTGCCTCGCCTGGGCTCATAGGGGGAGGGTGGGGCTAGGAAAGGGGATGGCTACCACTCTCTCGTTTTCCCCTTGAATCACTTTTGGAGTGCTCAGCTCCTGGAGGGAACGTGCCACAGCTTCATGCCCCAATTGCAGGCACTGCCACCCTTCTCACATGCCCTGGAAAAACAGGAGATGGAGCAGAGTGCCAGGGTTCACTCAGCCCTCCAGCGCTTACTGGAGATGTGGGTGGGAAAAACCCTAGGTGGGGGCTCCTGATGGTAAGAGGCCCTGGCACATCAAGACAAGTGAAACTGCTTTCCGGATGGGTGTTTTGCAGAGAGGGGGTCCTTTCCCAGTCCCTGGTGTGGGAGGAGTACCCAAGGACCTGGTCCTCTCTCCCCAGGACTGAGAGCAGTAGCAGCAGGGCTGCAGGGGGGAGCTGGGTAGCACAAGAGGTGAATATTCAGGAGGGGCGATGCTGTAAGGCCAGTGAGGGGGGAGGATTTGCTTCCCCAATGCTTTTGCCAGCAAGGAACCTTCAAGAACTGTATGGAGGATAAAAATTGCCTCTCCCCATCCCTTCCCTTCCACCCAGGGATTTCTACCTGCAGAGCAGTACCTCTGATCTGTCAGGGGCTGTGATTTGAGCAGAGTCCTGTGCACCCCTGAGCTGCTTCTCTGGGCGCCCACCAGCCCCCCTGATGGGACTCCTGAGTCTAGGCAGGGACCAATGTCTGCTTTTTAACCCTCTAGCCCATCACCCTGCCACAGCTCTTGGTCACAGAAGGTGACAGCAGCTGCCAAAAAACGAGTAATTCTTCCTGGCATTGCTTCAGACCTATGGCTAATCCAGGGAGAGCCACTGCTGAGCAAGCCAGAGGTAGGGACAATGCATGTGACAAGCCCCAAAATAGCTGGTGTCTCCCTTGTCCATGAGCTCGGGCAGTGTAAATGCCCTGAGCTGCCTGCCCAGCACTCACCTGAGCACATTTGGCCCTTGAAGCGGACGCAGGAGAAGTCATCGCACTCGCAGTACTTGCCCGTCACCTTCCCGAAGTCGCTGCTGTGGCACACGCACTGCCCGCAGATGCATTCGCCGCGCTGGCTGCAGAGGGGCTGGCCTGGCTGGAGGCTGCAGTTGTCCTGCTGCGAGGGGTTGTACTCCTCCTCTGAGCACTCGCAGTGCGAGCCCAGGCGCCCGGGGTTGCAGCGGCACACACCACACTCCAGCGTGCCATTGCCTCGGCTGCAGGACGAACTGTTGGCCTCGGCTTGGCTCTCACAGGAGCAGTCGCAGTCGAAGTTCACCACCACCGTCAGGCTGTCCTTGAAGCCCACGGGTTTGATGGTGAAGGATTTCTGCTGCTCCTGCGGGCACCCCCGCACCTTGGCCTCGATGCTGAAGCTGACCTGGAAGGCAGAGGGGTGCGTCTGGGTGTCCGTACCACAAGCACGGTATTGCGGTACCCACTGCAGTCCATGCCCAAGCTTAAAGAGCCCAGAAATAGGGCCCACTGGGTCTCTTCAGGCTTTTCAAAGCTGTCACAGCACTGTTTGGGCCAGGGCACCTTCCTGCCACAGTAACCAGGCTAAATCCCAGTGACTGTGGCCAGCAGCCCGGGCTGAGCTAGAGGATCACAGAGTTTGCATCCATCAGACTCAAAAAAGCATTTTCCTCCTTACACCCACCCAGCTGGACCCCTCTCTGCCCTACAAAGATTACAGGGTCTGTCTTCCAGGAGGTGGTGGGGCAAGCAGACAGTGCTGGTGGGGAGCATCAGACGAGCTGGCAATGCTGCTACATAGAGGAGGAGAAAAACGAAGCCCGTGAACAGGATCCTCACCGTGTCCCCAATCTTGAGGCCCATGCAAGACTTGAGCCCAGGGATGACCTCGTCGTTGAGGCAGGTGGCATTGAAGGCCAGGGAGAGCTCTTCAGGGAGGTCGCGCACCTCCAGCTCTACCTTGGAGCGGATTTTCTAGGAGAGGTGAGAGGAGTGATGAAGATAACAACACAGGCTGGGCAGGGCTTAGTCTCCCCAGCACCACAGTGATGCTCCCATACACATGGGAAAGGAGCCAAGTGCCCCGAGTCTTCCTCAGGACTTGGCTACATCGCTCCTCACAGGGAAATGCCTTTGAGGATGGGAAGGGGCAGACAGTGAACACAGTGATCTCCCTTCCCCAGGGTCCCTGCATGCGTGGGTGGAGCCAAGGGATCACAGCTGGTCCAGGGAGGATGCTCGGGGCTGGGGGAGCTGCCAAATCTGTGGGGGTTGTTTGCAGTGGGAAGCTATTTTGGGAGGGAGAGAGCTGTTGTGGGGCCATCACGCTGCACACTCACCCCATAGGAGTCCACTATGAGCTGTAGGACGTTGCTGGAGTCTCTGGATAAGGTGCCCACGGTTGTGCCTGGGATCAGCTCACTGTAGTTCTGGAGAAATACCATAAGCATGGTCTACTTGTGACAGATGAATGTGCCATGACCAGGCCAAACCCGGTCCAGGCACACGGGAGCTTCCCTAGGAGCTTCAATATGCCAGGAGATCACCAAGCTCTGCCCAGCCATCCATGGCCAGCTGCAAATGATGCTCCTCAGGATCCACCAGCTGCCAAAGAAGGTGGCTTTGCACAGCAGCTCTTACCTGGTAGAGGCCAACAACCGTATCCGTCACAGCGAAGATCAGGTTGATGTTCTTCTGTGAGAGTTTCTCAGTCATCAGGCCCAGAGAGGGATAGTCCTGGGGAAAAGCAGAGGCTATACCCTGGGAACATGTATCTCTAACCACCCTGATCCCCATCATGCTCTCCAGCCATGACTGGACCACCTTTCCTATCCCATGGAGACCCTCAACAGGAGCTCTGGGGTCCAAAACCCCAAGTGTGGGTTGGGATTTACCAGCGTCGTGGAGGCAGAGTAGAAATTATCCTTGTCAATGTGGCACTGGGCATCGTTGGGCTGCACAATGCCAGCCAGCCTGCCGTCCAGCGCGATGTGGGTCTTAGCATCCGTGGTGAACACAAGTAGATGGGAAGCATCATTCCTCCAGCCGATTTTCTCCTGCAGCAAAAGGCAGCTCCCGGTCATGTGGCAGTGTGTGCCAATGGCAGCCCTACATGCCAGCACCCCACTGCTGCCTTCACTGCCAGCTCAGGTCATGGCTTGGCCACTGCAGAGAGAACTGAGGACAATCGCTCTCCCAGGGAAGTGCTGGGAAGAGGCAGTGTGTGTGTATGGGCTGTGGGCTGCTCATACAGGTGAATGGCAGGTTTTAATTTAATAGGGTGTTAATCAAGGTAGTTAATGACTGAGGGATGCAACCCCTTCCATCTGAACCAAAATCAAGGTGCAGGCACAGGAGATGTCATCCATTCTGGGCTGACATGGGGCCATTGTCAGTCCCCAAGTCCCTGCTCTGCTCCTCTCTCCTGCCAGGACCATGCTAGAGTCCTGCTCTTCCCTTGCCTTGGCTACTAGCCTAGAAATGTCCTTGTTGAACATCCACCCTGTGCAGGTCTCAGCCCTGCAGCAGCTCCACAGAGCTTACGGCTCTGTCCTTGTGGGGTCGGGTTGTCCCTGCCAACCCACCAGGCCTAGCCTGATGACCCTCTCCTGACCCCACCCAGGACTTCTTGCCCCTTACGTCGCACACGGTGGCCTGGATGATGGCATCGAAGCCTCCCTCAGGTGCATCGCGGTTCCGTGAGACACTCTGCTTCCGCACCTCCTCGTTGAAGCGTGTCACCTCATCCGTGAGTGACAGGACATGTTTGTAGCCAAACATGGGCAGGCAGGTTTCCCCGATCCTACAGGAAGAGAGCAGTCAAGACAAGAGGCTCACAGGGCTCCTCCAGCTACCATCCCCACCCTGCAACCATCCCACATCCCGTGGTCCTGTCTGGGATGTGCTGGAGGCACCCTGCTACCCCAGGAGTAGCAGGTACCCAGCTACCTACACAACTGGGGGTATTGAAGGACCTCTTAAAAATCAATCACATATTGTAGTGATGCTAGGGTCAGGTCAGCTCCCAGCCTCCATCCTGTTGGGGGTTTTAGGAGTAATTTTCTTTGAGTCTCAACATCTATCCTGAAAACTGGTGTAAAATTGTTCCCTTAAGAGCTTTCCAGTGACAATAATACTTCAAAGTCTCCTCCCTGTGCCAACAGAACATGCAGCACAGCAAGTTTTAAACCCTGCCCAAAATCAGACCCTCAGTTCTGCTGAAATCCATTGCCATAGATTTCCAGCCACATTCCAGTAGTGTCCCATTAATCTCTGGCCTTACAGGACTCCCACAGCCCGGGACTTACTCATAGCAAGGGTTCGTGATGGCCTGAGGAGGAGAGATGTACATGTAGGGGGAAATGGGCTTGTCCACGAAGGCCCCAAAGCCAATGCGTAGGTTGCTGGTGAGCTTGCGCATCTCGCTGGCCAGCTTGGTGCCCAGGTTCTGGATGTTCCTCAGATCATCCTTCATGGAGTTGGACAAGTCCATCAGGTAGTAGATATCCACGGGGTAGTCTTCCACTTGGCGCACTTGGACACGAAATATCTGGGAGTCATCTGTAATGTGACGGGGCAGTGGAGTGAGAGGTCTTATCCTGGGAGGAGCAAAGGGGGCTCACCACAGGACTAGGGAGAAGGTCAGCTTACGGGGTCAGCTGGAACCCAAGGAGATGGTTTAAAGCTGCTGGGAGAACATCACAGTTAAACACGCAAAGGGGCAGAGCCCTTAGGGCGGGATCCTTGCACAGGAGAGATGCTGTGCCCATTTGGAGATGGCAAATGTGGCTTATAGCTCCTGTTCTCCAAACCTCTCACTACCAGGACGTGAGCAGATCCTCAAACTCAGAGCTGACCCCCCAAGCTGTCTGGCATGAACAGCATGACCAACACATGCTGGCTGGAGTGAGTGAGACACCAGCACATGGGCAGCAGGGCTTATGGGGATTACCAGGGCGCTGCACGGCTGCTTAGGGCTTCTCTGAGCATCTCCCAGGACCTCCTCCACCCCTGTTCCTTCCCTCTCCTCTTGGCTCCTCCCAGCCCATTCTGGAAAATTTTTGCTGAAATATTTTCCATTGAAACAAAACCCTCCTTAGACAGAATATTCTGGGGAACAGGCCAGTTTCGATGACTTTTGCACTTTGAGAAAAAAACCCAAAAGTGCTGAAAACATTTAGGGTTGACCTTTTCTTTCTGCTTTTTTAAAGAGAGACAAAAGTTCTTTCTTTGCTGGTCTTTAAAACGGCTTCTTTGAACTGTAAGCTGGGGCACAGCTGCAGCCTTCTCAGGACACCTCAAATGTTGAGGAAAAAAGCTTTAATTGAGCTTAAATGGTTATTGTTTTCATATTTCCTTCTAAATCTGCACATTAGATTCTGACTTTGAAGATGGAGAAAGCATCTTCAAAATGTACAAGAGCCCAAAGAGCTCCAGCTGCACTGATGGAGCCCCACCACCTCATCCAGGGTCACAACTTTGTGCTCAGAGAGCATCTGTTTCTCCTTGTTGAGTTAAACTCTGAGCCTGTGGGATATGGGCTGTGACCTGTCCTACTTAGATCCTTCAGCATTTGGTCTTGATTCATGAGTTAACGATGATGACTCAAGCCAAGCCCAAGGACAGGCTGGGGGG